CAGTCTGTAATCATACTCGTGATTAACAAATCGGACTCCCGCTTCGCGGTCGTCCGATTTTGTTAATCACTCGTATGATTACAGACCGAATTGGACTACACTCAGTCCTATTACCATTATAAGTTACCGAATCCAAGGGGATTTAATCTCTCTTCATCAAACATAATAGATTGACAGTTTTCTTGCCTTTCCCGATTTCGACCAATGGCATTTTACTTCGCTCAGACGAAGCAGAATTAAAAAAGTTACAGAGATCAAGGCAGGCTCACTTTCTTGGCGCCTCTTCACCAGACTCCTTCCCGCCGGATCGCTTTGCGCTTCGCCGCTCGCGCGTGTGAATCAAAGGTGAGCCTGCTCGCAGGCTAGCTTGCTTCGAGCTCGCTTCACTTGCTTTTTCTTTCGCGTGCGTTGAAAAATTGAGAGGCTCTGAACAGTCTAGGATGAATGTAAATTACTGGTAGACGATCGAAGAGAAGTGACTGACAAAGTGACTTTGCTCTGTCGAAGCTAACGTTCGAAACGGTTGTTCCGCACACTCATTTTGGCGGTTTCCGCAATTAATTCAATTTGAAACTAAATGTTTCGTTTGCCTGCCGACACAGCCTAACAATCTGTTTTGATTTTCTTTGTTCGGCGGCGAGGTGAGAAATCATCGGTAATCAATGGTGTTGTTATACTCACCATCGCTGTGTGCAAAAAGAGACATCGGCTATGCGCGGAGTTGAGAGTTTTCTCATGTTCGGTCTCTTTGTTAATTAACTCTATTGTATTCAAAACTTGCCCGATATTTCCTTTACTCATACTCGGTTGTTCAAGTTAACATTACTTAACGTTTCAATGAAAAATATCACTCTGTTTAATATAAGAGTGTTTTATAATTCTCATCAAAATAGGTCCAGAATATTCAACTCTCGCCCACGTTTGCAGTTCATTTCGCGTGTATAGCCGGACAAACTCGTGAGGCGCAAACTTTTGTGCCCACTGTTTTTGTCGGGTGAGACGTAGAAAAGTGAGAAATCTGAAATCTGAAAGGGTTTGTTTAGTGCCGTTCATTTCGCGAAATTCTATGAACATCATCGCAGCTGGTTTTAGTAGTAGTAACAATCTTTTATTAGGAAGCTCCATCACTAAAAGTGGTTTACATAGAGGTCCTAATACTAGATATATACTATATAATGATACAATTAAAATCTGTAAATTAGAGCTAAAACCGAAATTTTTTAGACGTTTAACTGTGCCACCTTCTTTTAAAAGTCTCTGAGACACTGTTAAATGAACCGTCGGTTCATATCACACTGGTTCATGGCAGACGTGAATGAGTGAAATTTGCATGTGAAAGCAAAATTCAGTTGGTGTAAAAAAATTTCCGGACCCTGACTATAAAAATATATCAGATCAGAAACAAACATCTACCCAGTGAGGAAAAAAAAGTTGTAAATATCCCTTACCCCACAAAATTTCCCCCAATATCCCGTCTCCCAAAAACCCCTAATATAATGGGGTCCCAATGGGGGAGTGCCACATTCGCGAAGGCCTGGATGCTAATGACGTCATTGATGGCGCCAAACGTGAGCGCACATTGGCGCTGGTTGTCAGTTGTCAGTACTTGACGAGTGTGCATGTGAGAAAATCCGGGAAGCACCAGAGAAATACTTCTACCATGAACAGAGAACTTACGTATTACTACCAAGGAGACAGTAAGTATTTTACACAATGCAGAAGTCTAGTCTCATTTTATTGCATCTTTCTAGTTCCTCTAGTTCGTTTTAGAAGCAGACGTAGATGTTGATAAGCCGTCCCCGCACGCAGTCTTGTTCACACGTGTTTGTCTGTTTACAGATAGCTCAACGACAAGAAACCGGCTGTTCAGTCATTCGGAGGAGCGTGATAACGATAGTAACAACAACAATAAGGAATCTGAAAAGGTAGCAGCGGTGCAATGGCTAAAGTGTTTTTTTCCCAGGTCGCTTTGAATCGATTGAATCGCTTCTTAAATTTGACATGCACGCATGGCGACCCGCGAATTAATACCGCCTTGTTCCTTGACGTTTCTTCAGGAGGTAGTTTTCTCGGGTTTCAAAGTCAACAGGATAACGATCGGTTGCAATGCGTTTATCAAGAAAAGAGAAAAGAACTCGTATCAAAACTTGTAAGCTTCCTCTCATTGCAAAATCACAATTTTCACACCTTGCGTTATGTTACTAAACCAGCCGCTTTGGCGTTTAATAATTTTGATTTCAATTTCACCGGCATTATATTCGATGGGTTTGCTGAATTTGACATGTGAATTCGAAAACGTGACAACTGAAACATTAAATGTAGATGCTTAACTATTAAAAATACAGTATGGTGGATAGATGCCCTTCATGAAGGCGTTCAAATAGTTTTTTTTTCCTGAATTTAGCGTGTACCATGAAGGTTGCAAGAAGATTCAGTATAAGTATTTTGTTTAGCTCAAGGTGCATGTCTCGATATCCAGACCTGCGAGACCATCGATGGTGACGGCGTTTTGTGGAAAATTTTGATTAATTCCTCTTTGAAAATCAGCTTACCATTTCCTAGCCACAGCAGATCGCTTGCATTTGACCTTGGTACTGGTGTGTTGTTAACTTGTTTGTTGACATTTTTTTAGACTGCAGTCTGCAACTGCAACAGGATGCCTGACACCATTCACTGCAAGTTTTGTGGGCAGTCATTTGTTGGCAGGAAACAAATTTCCTGTCAACTGCACAAGAACACTATCCATCTGATGGATTTTATGTTTTGCATCTTTTGCAAAAGAAGACTATGAGGAGAACTTTATGGAAAAAATATTGATAGTTGCTAGTTCTCGGAGAACAAGGAAAAACTGTGAATGTGATAATTTTTGGCAATTTTTCTTCTGAGCTTAATGAAGTCACTTTATATGTATTTTTCACACACCCCTTCAATTGTGATTGTAGAATGGCAGTAAGAAAACTGGAGTTTATTATGCAGTCAGGTGTGCTTGAAAATCATTGACATCAGTGGTTTCATTAAAGGCCAGGCACTGGGCAAACAGACCTTTTAGCATGGGCAGTTTGTTGCCCCATTTCAGACCATGTGATGTACTCTTGAGAATTCTTGCTTTCAAGTTTTCAAATAGTTGCGTGACTACGAATGAATAATTTATAGATGGGTTAAAGACAAAATTCTCTGAGAATATCACATGATCAGTAATAGGAAAACAAACCACCCAAGCTAAAAAGGTCTTTTGACCAGCTGTGAGGATGATCTTGTCCACCAGGTTTGACCATCTAGGGAAAGTTCTTGTAAAGAAGTTCAAATCAAAAGTTTTGCCCATCTGTGAAAAGCAGTTGCCACCTGCTTGAAGCGTTAATGAAACCGCTGCTGACACGGCATATTTTATGAAATTAATGCTGTGACATGTTTGGTAGACTTGGATGGAGTTTCCTTGGCCATTCAATTGAAGAAAGTGACAGTGGTAGCGAATGAAATTGCAGGGAATAAGTCATTTGGATTTTTCCAGCTGTAAGGGTTAAGTGTCTCCTTACTGGTCATCACAAGTGTGCTTGTGTTGGTTTTGAGAGTTTTGAGATAATTATTATATTAATAAAATTGTCCAACACATGCACAGCAGTTATTTTTTGTAATCAAGAAAATTTATTCAGAAAGTTATGTTTCTCTATTGTGTCCAGAAAAGATATTACAGAGTTTTAGAGACAGATGAAAATTTGATCGAAAATAATATTAATTTTGTAATGCATGTTAAGTTGTGTTCATCACCGCAAATTAATCATTGCTGATTATCATTGCTTGCATATGACTAGTCTTGAGTCTTCGTTGCATGATTTGGCTGGGCAAGACTAGCATAAAGTTGGAAAAGTTTAAGTGTATTTAAGAATTAAATACTATTACTAATAGAGCAGTTTTCAATTGAGTGTCGTAAAACCAAACCAATTACCAACCAATTAGACTACTCAGCCAATCTCAAACTATTATTGTTTTTTTAATAATAAAAACAATAAAATACAAAAAAAAAAAATCCCAAACTATTACTAAAACCAAAACCAAAGTAATTGTCTACTTACTTTCGACACTGAATTGAAAATCGCTATTGGTATTATTAGTATAGGTAATCAAATTAATGGTGACTAGTGAAATTAGGAAATAATTTCACATGCATCGACGGTTGAAATTTCAGGAGTAATTTAGAAGTAAATTAAGGAGTAATTTGTCACCCATGATATTCTGTAGATAACTTTTTCTAAGTTAGTAACAATCAAAGAGAAGACATTTTCTTATCTTTCAATAAGGGCTCCCGAGTTTCTTGGAAGAAAGTTAATTTTGCTTGTCTTTTTTTTGCCTGTCTTTTTTTATGCATTTTATATAGTAATAAAAATATACAAACTGGCAGTGTGGAAGAGAGCTTTTGTCAATAAAGAGATGTTCTTGTAACCTATGAAGACTAAATCACTACTGTAAGATGCCTTATAGTAAGGGCCAATACCAATTTTTGAAACCTAATACTCTTAATACAAAATGCCATTGTATTGTACAACACTAATTACCAGTACCTTTTAGGTGATGCACAATTTGATGGTATGGAAATTTCAAAGGAATGATAAATTTCCAATGATGAAAATATTAAGTACATACTAAATATGCAAGTTTTAGCAACTGTGCTGACCTGGTTTGTTTGTTTTTGTGAAGTGAACCCCCAGGAAGTAGAACTTGTCTAAATGGCTTTAAACTAGCAGCTCCAGGAACACAGAGACATTAAAATAACACAAAACACCAAGGCAAGAAAGAAAAAATTATAACAATTTTCTTTTCAAATAGAGCATTACCATCAGCATGATGTCATGTCAAAGAGCACCTGTCGGTTAGTTGGGACAAATTTGTCATGTGTTCATAAGGGTAATTCACATAGGGACCAAAGAACCCCCCAAATGTTTCATCAGTTCTTGGGTATTTCACATTATTTCGCATTACTTAAAAAGTATTGACTCTTCCTACACCAAACTTGGCAGATGAGCAGGAGACCTATTGCCAATTATATTTACGTGAAAAATGTCAGTAAATGTCAAAATTGTGACGTCACAGTGATGACGNGCACGTTTTTGTCTAACACGTGTAGACATCAAGGGCAAGCTAGGTCATTGTTGTTGTTTGCCACAATCTTTCCGGTTAGATCCCTCAGTTTCCGAGTGGCCTTAATTCGATTTCAACATTGACGCCTAGTTCCTTTTCCCATTAAAAAAAAAAAAAAAATTCAAAAAATAGAAAAAAACTAGTCATGAAAGTAAGTTTTGGGGTTAATAGACCTCTTTAGTTTTCCCATTAAAGACCACTTGATGATACTCTTGAGAATTCTTGCTTTCAAATTTTCAAATTGTCGCATGTATATGAATGAATAACTTTAAGATGGATAAAAGGAAAATTTTCTAGAAAATATCATGTGGTCTACAATGGGAAAACAAACCACCCAAACTAAAGAGGTCTATTTGCAAAACGGGCAATGAGTAAGAAAACAGCCCATTCTCAGACCATCCCTGACTTTCAGGCCGAGCACGTTTTGCAAGGGGCCTGAACCCTACCCTGATAGCCCGGCCTTCTTGATCTTTTGTATAACAGAGAAAGCCTAGGTATCAAATTTGCCTCTCTCTAACACCAACTTTTAGAGACCATTTGGGGCTAAGATGGCTTCTCCAGCTGATCGTGACCTGGGGCCCGTTTCTTGAAGGTCCCAAAAAGTTTTCGCATCCGGAAATCCGTAGCAAAATATAAAATCTTATGATTACAGAGCTGTTTCATTCACATATTCTTAATACGAACAAAGGTTCTCTTCAGACAAGAAGTTTCTGGCGTATACACCTCTCTGTTTATAGATACAGATAAGCTAAAATGGCTCTGCGGCCCCGAAACGTTTCCGGGGCTTTCGAGAAATGGGCCTCAGGGCTCGAAATTTTCCCGCGCTTCTCGTGCCTTACACCCATTTTCATACTAGTAGTAATCAAAGATTATGAGAGTGCGTTCGACGCCGTCACTGTAATATATATACCTTAAATGATTTCACTAGCTTACTTTCAACCTCTGTCTATTGCTAAAATCAACGTTTTTAATCGGCAACCGAGGTTTTACAGACAGATATATCATATCAAATCTGTGATTAATGTATCTAAACATAGTTAACTATGATCTAACAAGGACAAAGCTAAGGAGAGCTGTATTAACCCGTGTGGTCTTATTTCGTTTTCATGCGATTCGTTTCACCTTAGGTACTAACAAACACCATACATTTCGCATGATTTCTCGAATGAACTTAACACAGCTTAAATTTATAGACTTACGTAGTTACAGAACTATAACGTATAAAACTTGTAGCTTTCAGCTTACAGACTTGTAACGCAAACCACTAACTTACAACTTACAGACTTTCAGCTTATAGCATATAACTTATGGACCTGTTGCTTATATCTTTAGCATTATAGCTCATACTTTTAACTTATAGACTCCTGCACCAGTAAATTAGGCATACGAATACCAACTTACGTTTTTGGCTTTTTCAAAAAGCTAGTTAAGCTTTGTGTGCTTCATAATACACAACTATATAAATATATTTGACGCAAACTATGAACGACCTTCTGCGAGGCTCACAGACAACACAACACCGAACATGCAGATATCGACAGATAGCTTTACTCTGCTATGAACTTTACCCTGCTATGGCTAACAATAAATCAGATATTTTAACCTGCTTAAAACAGCAATCAAATTGTAACAAAAATACTGAATGCGAATTACATTTAGGATGTTTCATAGAAAATCTTAGTTACAAATTTCCACAAATAAAAATGTCTTAAAATTGCAACAAAATTGAAACCTATTACTACTCCATTGACAAGTGTTTCGGAGCGGTGTAAAATTTAGAATAGCCGCTGTCACACTTGGCACCTTTTCACTGATATTCGTTGTTACTCGATGTGTTCGTCACAGAAAGGTTCTCCCCAGGAAACGAGAAAAGCTACGTGACGTTCTAAATAAGGGTTGCAAAGGGACAGATGTCAGTGAAAACTAATTTCTTGTTTTAGCCTGTGGAGACGCTATGACACACTGACGCGCCGCCAGTGCGTGGCAAAATCGCCTTGCGTGACAGCGGCACTTTTTAAAACACTTTACGAGTAACAAAACAGCTTCGATTCACTTTGAATCGTGGTTAAAAACAGACAACACAAATTCAACATATGTTTTGGCATTCAAAGCATCACAAAGAAATCGATAGATCCTTGAATACACCTGACAATCCCCTCTGCGAATGACGTGAACCCCAGGTGAGAAAACCAACAAAAGGTCACTTTACAAAAGAGATTAATAGGGGCCTGGAAAAAAACAATAAGCAATCAAACGTCAGCGCTATGGTTTCTATTTATGGGAACGTTAGCCTGCGTAGCTGGCGGGATTTCGCGCGCCTATGCTTTTATTTTGGCGGCGGAGGGGCGTAACCGCGAGGGGATTGGTGAGGAGTCGAGTTGAAAACTACGAACAAGGTCTGTTTGTCAATTTTAATTGACAAAATAATTCATCAAGTTTAAACAAAAGGAAATCATGACCGTGACGGTGCTCGGATATCTGATCTTACTTTCCATAGATTTTTGCTTGCTCGTTTTCTCCTTTGTGTTAGTTTCGATTGGGACTCAAGACAGTGTCTGATTACACATTCAAACACCTCGTAAGTCGTTAAAGATATTCCGCTGCGCGTCGTGTTTTCAACTCTCTTCTCAGTGTTTGGAAACGTGGTCAAACACGGTCTTGCGTGTTTTGATATATTAATTAGCAGATTCAGCATGATGCTACAAGAACACTCCTTGCGATAATAATAATAATAATAATAATGATGATAATAATAATAGTAATACAACGAAATGTGAAGACATGACTGATCATCGCAGTTATGTACACAACTTGTGAAATTAGCAGAAGTTTCAAATGAAAGAGAAGATTAAAAGAAATCAATGAAACCAGCGCTCACTTTTATTCTAGGATAGCCTACCTCTGTTTTTTTTTTCCCCAAATGGCTTCGTAAGTCTTCCCTCAACCTTGAATAAAAAAGAAAAAAAAAAAAGATGGAAAAACTGTAAACTAAAGTATGCATTACTGAGCTGCCATGGTCTGAAAACAACCTCGTACCCAGGGCTTCTCCCTTGAAATTTGGAAGGAAAAGCTCTGGAAACGAGGTTGGCCAGAAACATGACAGCAACAGTTTTCTTGTACTTATTACTGTAATCGATCGATAGCGATTACTTTTAAAAAGGTATTTGCAGATCATGGCCTCCTGTCAATTGTATACTTCTAGTGTAATTANCCCATTTATACTTCTCGGTGGGGGAGAAACGCTATGAGAGTTAGTGTCTTGCTAATGCACATAAGTATCACATAAGGAGAAAGTTCTGGATCAAATTCTTGACCTCTTAATCTCATTCACTTCCATATCACAAGAGAGAAAAAAGTAGCACAAGGAGACAGCGTCCACGCCGCCGACGCACTTCAACGTTCTCACTGCCTTACTGTCAGCTAGAATGACATCTCGTAAGGTTGACTTAGGTTCAGTAGCCCATGAATCATATTTTAACCTACTTAACAGGTGCTTCAGTGCATATCCCGCGCGAGCTCGTGCGCCTTGCGCCCCATGACTCTAATATTAAGTTAGTGTCCTTCCCAGCAGTAACTTAGCACGCAACGCGCGTCAAGTAAGGGTACAAAGGAGGCTACTGTTATAAGGAAGCAGTAACGCACACACCCTATTCCTTCTTTGCGTTACATCTAGGTTCATTATATGATAGTAATTTGGTTACCGAAATCTAAGCTTACATGTACATGTTCTAATACTTATCCCTGTAGAGAAATGTGACGATACGCGAATGAAGAGATTGCTTGCAGTTACGCGGCTAAATATGAAAAATTAACGACTTGCTCGCGTGGTAATAGTAATTGACCAAATGGAGTACAATTTGAAAACAATATTAGAGCACAAAAGTACAAGTTTGGCATGAATCCATCCATTTTTACTTGTAAACAAATCACTCACCGGATTACTGCCTTGTTCCATGTCATGAGGATTCTGTGTAGCGTCCAAGCCAAGCAAGTCACGATACAGTGGATTGTCAAAGTCAAGATGCTCTGGTGCTTGACCCTGTTCAAGAAAGGTATTATTTTTTCCCTTATTTTGTCTCCTCACTACTCCCCCCCTTTAAGTTTTACTGCCAACCAACTTCCTTATATAAACACTATTTAATTTCACTCAGCTCGATTAGCTTTTAAGTTATTCTGGGTGAATTTACCTAATTTTCTGTTTCAATTACCATTGTTTTGTAAGTGAGAGTTTTTCTATTTTAGTAATAAAGTGTGTGCTGTTGATGTTGGTGACAGACATGAAACAGTCAGTAAACTTTAAAAACAGAGTGAAAACAGAAACATGCTCGACTGATTCGTGAAACTACATGAAAGTAATCAGACAGCCAATCGAGATCGTGGCTCGAGATGCGCTAGACCAATCAGAACACGAAACCGGCAAAATCTTGTAACGAGTGGAAAGCGCGGGAAACCATGAACGCGGCTGCAAAGCGCGGGAAAACACCTAACCTGTTGCCAAGCGCGGGAAAACTAAAGCAAATTAAATCACTATGGGCTTCCCGTACAATTAACCTTCTAACTTTCATTTCAGCCAGCATTCTCACAGCAAAAGTGTAGCAGCTCTCGTAAACTTGGAATTCTTTTCATTGTTAGCAGCTGTTGTTTTGGGGTTAGAGGCAATAGTTTCTGTTTTCCCTCACAGATATCTACAACGGTTTAGCTTTTACCATTGTTTAGCCTTGACCGTCCATATTTCTCAACAGCATCTTTTTAATTCGTTTGTGTTTCTCGATCATTTCAAACCACTGCGCTATCTAACAGCTTCAATGCGCACTCTACAAGATCTAACCTTATTGCTGAACCTTAAAGGACATACGTCTCGGTTTGGACATCTTGAAAAGTTCAGCCTAAATTTTTCAAGTTCTTGGTTTGTAATTATCCGCGTCAATCTTCTCCATCCTTAACCATCCTTGTTCCTTTATGGTTTATCATTATTTCCTTGGTGTTTTTCTATCTTAGTAAACTACTCTTTTCAGGTTTCCTTCAATTTAAAGGCAATTTTGCACGTGGCCAAAATTAACTCATAATGCCGTTACTGAGCTGCTTTCAATGTACCTGTGGCACAGGCTGCTTGTCATCAATTGGAAATTCCAGTGGTGTCATGAGCACTGGGTCGTCAAGGTTACCATACAAGACATTATCAAATGACATCATACTGTTGTCGTTAAATGCTTCATTGCTAAAATGCACCGTGTCCACATTCTGAGGAGAAAACAGAGCAGGGATTAGTCTTCAATATATGACAAAATCACCAGGCGAATAAAAAAACAAACAGGTGCTTAACTAGTTATGGAAATTACAATACAATGCTGGAGCAACTGCAGAATACCCTGCCACTATGGTTCTCGATTCTACTTTCGCACATATTTTGAAAGAATGAGAAATGCACATGAATGAATTAACTCAAGAGGCAGCTGGGTATTCTGCAGTTAAGCCACCAACGTTCTGACTCACCTTTTTGTAATAAGCTCGGGAAGGAAAGTGGTTCTTCTTCACAAACCAGAGAGCAAATGCGATCAACATCACAAGCATAATTGTACCAATGATAATACCAGCGATAGCACCCCGACCAACTGAGCTACTCTCCTAAACAAAGAAACCAATGTTAACTGATTTAGATTAAAGACAAACAGGTCAATCGCATTCCAAGGGTCTCTATCGTGCCCGCTTCCCCCAGGCGAAGGTGAGAACAGAGAGTCAAGGAATAAGGTTTGAGGAGCAAGGCTGATTACCAAGGGTACGTGCAGTAAACAGTTTTCACAGAAAGTTTCTTGGAAATAAGTAATCCGTAACGCTACTTTGGATTTGTGTTTCCTGAACTGTTTAATTAGAAATCAGAGCAGGTAACTCTCTCTTTAAGCAAGTAAGTCGCACACAGGCAAGCTTTCGAGCCACTTTCTAAAACCATCACGAGAGAAAAACACGTGCAAGCTATTGTCACAGTCAAGATATGTATTAATTAGAAATAATTTAAAACAATATTGCCATTCAATAATTAACAATTAATGGACGAGGTTGAGCAAAACATCGGGATTTGTCAGTGGCGAACAGATCAGTTATTTGCCGAAGCCGAAAGCTCAGACAAAAAAATTGATCTGCGAGACACTGACAAATAACGATAATCTGCGATAACCGAGTCAGTTTCACTTTTTGCTTCGAGAGCCAAAGCATTTCTATAAATCCTACACACCTGCTTTCCTGCATTTGGTCCATCTGGCTAAAGAACAAAAGAAATAGCAATGTCAGCACCCAGTGTAGAAAGAAAATATTACAGAACTACTCCAATCCATTCAATACATAAACTTTACCGCAGAAGAGTCCAATTTAAAAATAGGTCTGTTATGCGTACATACTGACTGGCTTAAGCTTTGTTGCATGTTGGAGAGTAACACTTAAAGAAGTTAAAAAACCCAACCAAATTAAAGGTCCTTTGACTGGAGTAAGAGATAAGTATAGATTTTGCTGAACGCATTTGGTTTCCCAAACAAACAATACATTCCGCAGCATATATGCTCTAAACTAAATCCACCTTACAAAGAAGTCCTTTAGCTAACACAAACCACAAGATATCAACAATGTGTTAGCTTTGAAATGAATTCGAAAAGAAAGTTGAGTGAAAGTAGTAAACTCTTTTTTAAATGCAAAACGTTATAAAGTCAAGAATAAATACTGGATATTGCAAAGTTGTAACAGTAAGCTATAAATACCACAACAGGTCCTTCTGTTGGAATAGTAGTTTGCTGGGTTGTCTGCTTCTGTAAGAACACATAATCGATAAAGCAATGAAAATGATATCACACATCCGTCGTGAATTGTATCCACTTATTTATCGAACTTCACCCACTTTACATAGTGCAACCTTCGCACTATGGTTCCCTCTCTCCTGTTTTTCCTGGGGGAGTGGTGGCTACGGCAACAAGTAGGCTAAAGGATCGACAAACCGAAGATTGCAGAGACAACGCGTATAATTATCGCAAACGTTTTGACGAGGCAGGTATGTCAAAATTGCCTGATTTTATAAAATCACTGATTGTCATTTTGTTTTGCTTTGCACCTTAAGTGTGAGTATTTTTTCTTCTTCTCGACATTACAAAAGTTACACTTGAGACGCTAACAGGTAAATTAAGAAGTTGCCTTTTATTAAAGCTAACAGTGTTGTAGCTCTTTCTTAAAGATGATTTTCAGTATCGTACTCAGCACCCTAACGTTTATAAACATTATAAGTCTCACTCGATGGAATGCGAATCGATGTTATTTGTTACGAACCACATACCTTATTTTTGAGGCCTTTCAAATTCTTTTTCCAACAGCTTCATTGATTTTTAAAGCTGCGAAGTTGTTTCATCGAGTGATATGAGAAAGAACGAAGCATAAAGCTTCGACCGCTTCGCATCCATAATGGCGGTTGTTTTGAAACTTGGAATTTAATTCATGTAAGTAGTTGCGAAATGTTCACATTTTGTGATGTCTTACATGAAACAAAACAAAAAACGCAGACAAACTCTCGAGAGTGCGCAGTACGGACTGGAAATCATCTTTAAATACAACAAGATAAATGAAGATAATGACTGTAACATACTGAAGTTGGTTTTCCTGGGGTTGCTGTGGTAGGTTTAGTTGGTTCAGTTGGTTTGGTTGGTGTTACTGTGGTTGAAGGTGGAGGAGCAACAGCCTAAAATGAAATTAACTTGCAGTAAGTATGTGAGGTAAAATATGACAAAGGTTCAATTTGTTGCAGTCCTAAGATTGGGAGATCGCAATCATTTTCGAAGCATGAAGAAACTGGAACTTTTTCTACATCCCCTGGAAGGAAAGCTAATTCAACGTAGATTATCCTCGGTACTCCCCCCCGCCTCGGTATTTTCTCAGGACGCCCAACAATTCTCAGGAGGGTGGAGAGAGGACCTGCGAGACCCTCGCTAGAACCTAGACCCCCGGAGCCAACCTTTAGTACAGTAACCATTACATCACTGCATCTCCTAAATTTTGCATAAAAATCACAACTTGAAATATGTGTTTCTCTGCTCCCTCGCAGTCATACATATCAAATGATAACACATTTTACTACTTTACTGCATTAATATCTTGTTCCTCAGTGCCCCTAGAATTCACCTCGGTTCACGTGAATAAAAGATAAACTCGCTCAATGTTTCAACATCTGGACCTAAAGCTTTGTCAATAACAACTACTTACAAGACAATGTTTAGGTCAGTAAGTCATTTACTCACCGGGATCATCTGATCTATTACATGTACCAGGCCATTAGTTGCAGGAATGTCTCCAATAACATGAGCAACTCCATTGACAACTACTTGCCCCTGTGTAACAGTAACAAACGAATGTTATCTTGAGCCAAAGCCTTCAAACAGGGGGACTCTTATATGAAAGGGGTGAGGAAGCTCGTCATCTCATTCAGGGGTGGAAATCGCCTATTTTGGTATCACTTAGGGTGTAAACTAAGGTGTCCCACTGTTTTACCAACAGTAAGGGCTAAGTTGTAAGGGCCTATGTACAGCTGCCCGCTCTCCTCGAAAAAAATCGGAGACGTACTCCCTGCGATTTTTCTTGAGAAGAGCGGGCGCTTTACACAGGCTAAGTTGAAATCGTTCTATTCTTCAAAGTCGAAATTATTTATCGTCGTTAAGTTGTTATATCACTTACTTTTTTGTCTGTTTAAGAATGATATATTTTGGGGGGTCAATATTGAAGCACGATATTAAATCTTGTATAAATCCTGTGCCATGCTAGATTGATCTCCCTTAGGGTTTAAATTCAAATTTTCCGAAGATTATCCCCGCCCTTTTGACGGGGGAGTCCCTCTCGGGATTATAACGTCCACTAAAACCCCTTATTGATCAACTCGTTTAAAAGCCTTTTTTAAATAACCAGTAGTTAATGTAAACTAAAATTTACAAATTCTGGATCTTACATTTGTTAGCTTTTTAATGTGCAGTTTGGTTCCAGCCAGGGTCGTCAGAGATAAGTCACTAATCATGTTGTTTAGCGGAAACCTTCCAGACAAGATGTGATTCTTCATAATATGTAATNGTTAATTAGTAAGTAATATTAACATTGTAGGTTATGTTAGAATTATTGTAAGTAGAACATTGCTATAAGTCACGTTACGGTATGCTAAATGTGTGGTATTGGCAAATTGTAAGTAATGTTAGTGTACAATAAGTAGTGTTAGTATTGTAAGGAACTGCTTTTTTATGTAATGTTAGTATTGTAAGTAACGTTAGTATTGTAAATTAAAGAACGTTTTTCACTAGCAAGCTCTCATTTTCCAGATTAACGGTTGGCTGACGGCCAATATACTTCCCCTTTTACACAACCATTGGATAAGTCAATTCAAGAGGCTATTTTGTCATTGGCAAAGGTACTTTATAGATTAATTACTTACACCCTAATAGACGTCCCCAGCAGAATTTAGAATAAGTGGTGTGCAGCACAAAGAGAGAAATTTGGAGAACAGTGTGGCAAGAATACAACAAGAGAATAATCGATCAAAACAGTTTGCAAATACAGTAAACAACAGCCACTGTCAAACACAAAAAGATTAAGAGCAGCAAACCTAACAACACACATATATGGCAATAATGTATTTTACAATAACTGCAAAAATTCTCGCGCGCTAATGGGCTAAATTTTCATTGTCAATAAGCGACAGACACATGAATTTAAAAATTATGCAATGTTCACGCAACAAACAAGAGCGAACAATTTGACAATTTTTTATTGTAAAAAACAAATTGACATCAGTTTTTCATGCGTCTGTCCTGTTATTGACAATGAATTTCGTCATAACATCGTCAAAGTAGTCTGCGGATCCACTCGGCTATCACTTCTTGGATCCACAGCTACTTCGACAATGTTATGACGAAATTCATGATCAGTGACAGGACAGACGCATGAAAAACTGACGTCAATTTGTTAAACAACAACTTACGTGGCATGTCGACTGCAGTTGGTTGGAAGACAGTTGGCATAATTTGCAGCTAAGGAAAGAAAAGTGAGGTTATACAAAATAATGAGAACTCATTTTCGACAAAGGAAATTCTCAACTACCTATATGTAAGTCCATTATGTTCCCCGCTTTCAACAGACATGAATGAAAAGCATTAAGGGAAATTCTACACCGTCTCTAGAACGTTTCAAATTTAAAAGCATTTAAGCATAAAACTGGAGGTCTTGAGATTCACCATCACGTTTTAAACACTCGTAGCTAAACTCTAATGAAAAAATATAACACCAGATCAATTAAGGATATTGGTAATATAATAATTTAATACGTACGTGCTTTATGATGATACTTACAGGTGTTGCAAAACTGTCCTTTCCAACCATGCTGGCAATAACATCTTCCATCGCCATCAATGCCTTCATTACACAAGCCATTGACACATTTACAGTCTGATGGCAAAAAAAATTGAAACCTTACTTCGATGTTTGTTAACAGAACTGAGAAACTTTATCATCTACTGGGTAAAAACAGAAACAGCATTTCAGCCTCCATAAGAGTGTTTATTAAAAGAGTGTCCTGTACCCGGCGAACGCAAATCTACCAAAATGATGACCCACTAACGAATTGAAGTTGATTAACTCGCATCAGGTTAGTTTTCTCTAAACGGATATGGAGATTGTGACCTCCGTACTACAAGATTTCAATGATGGCCAGTCCTCAAATCCTTAATCAGAGCGGTTTTTCATTGAGTGTAGAAAGTAACTAGGCAATTACTTTGGTTCTGGTTTTGGTTTACCGGTACCTATGGTTTGAGAATGGCTGATCAGTCTGAGTAAATTGGTTGGTCTTGGTTTGACGACAGTCAATTAAAAACCACTCTAAAGGTTAGGAAGTCATATCGATAGATCTTATAGGTAAACTCTCACTTACCATTTGTGCAATTTCTGCCATATTTTCCAGCAATACACTTCTCGCACGATGTACCAGTGAAGTCAGCTTCACACTGACAGTGACCAGTGCCAGTCTTGCCGTCATCACAACTGCCATGACGGGAACAAGGGTTGGTCAAATTTCCAGGACAAGCTAAAGAGTAAATGCAAAAATTAGATTGACAAACTCCAGAAGTTGGCAATGGACTAAAGGAACATTATCGTGTCCTGAATGACAGGATTTCTGAGAAAGATACACTATCAGTTGTAGTTCCAAAATTAGGAAATGTTTCCCCTATTTATGACAAAAAACTCCACAAACTTTGCATATTTATAAAACTGTGACCCTTGCATTTTCACGTTTGACTCTGGTGAAATCAGCTTTCATCTTTGCCATTGCTCAATAGCCAAGTTCAATTAATACTACTATCTTGTCTATTACTACTTTAAACCATTATAGTTAGTCAAACCATTATAGTTACATGCCCTGAAGATGTCCCTCGAAGTTAGACCAATCTTACACCCCCTACATATGATGTGCGGCAAAAAAAAAACACGGCAACATACATTGACAGTCCTGGCCCCAGAATCCGTGACAGCATTTCTTAACCTGGAGGAAGGACGATGTAAATAACTTATTTTACTCACTCAAGACAACCCTCGCTCAGACAAAGTAACCTGGATGTAAAAGAGACATTTGGAGTCCATGATATGTGGCTGCTTATAAGAAGAGCATGGCGACAATTTCAAGAGATGCTAGCGCCAAATAGTGAGAGGTGGCTGCCCTAAAGGGATGTTTAACAGAATATGGAAAATAGACTACCTTTTCAAGAGCAATAATTAATTGTTATTATGATTACTCTGTAAGAGCAGCGATGCCCATGGCCATGACAGCATAAATTCTCCACAATATCATTTTTTGGCCGTATTATGTAAGTAAAAAAATTACAAATAATAATAATGAAATATCTGATTACAAATTAAAGGTCTACTTACAATAGTGGTTTGTTGGCACAAAGCCTGACAGCCACGGAAGGTGAAAAAAAGTATTGTAATTCGGCACGAATCCTGCTGAACACCCTATAAAAGAAAGAAACACAAATATTAGATGTTAAGCATGACGTTTATGACAAACGCTACAATTAACCTCTGATTTTGTGTTCTTTTCTTCTAATCCTCAATTAAATCAAACAAAAATAGACAAACTTCTCGTACTATTCACCACAAATACAAATATTTTTACAGTATTGTACAAACGGCTGAAGATATATGGCACGAGTTTCATTCTGGCTTTGTAGTGTAAACGTCATTCTTGACCTCTCTATTGACTCAACCTTTTTAATGAACTCAATTGATCAGATTAAAAGTTAACATGAAGCAGCTAGAAGTATTGCTAGTCCCCCCTTAACGGAATGCTAGTCTAACGCATGTTACTCCTCAACATTCGTCTCAGGAAACATTGAGATTCTCTGGAAACAAAATTCACCGTTCCCCTCAGGACCAGTCATTAAGTGATTTGCTATATTGCAAAACAAATGGGTCAAACCGGTAGAAAACAAACAATCACTTTATTAACAAATGACGTGCAACAGCGGTCAACATTTCGCGGGTAAACAGTAAACTGTTTCCCGTTTGACGTCATAGTTTTTGCAATGTTGCCCGCTCATGACATTTGGCGAGAAACAGTTTCATTGTTAGATGTCATGTGACAATGAACTAGCCAATGAATAAAACGCCAGCTATATAACAATGTGTTATGTTGCGTCAACAGTTTACTGGCACCTATTTCATATATTCCTGGGTAGACTGCTGGCAGTCTGTTTTTCCCTTGAAATTCAACAGGGATTTTGAGGCAAGACGCTTTAGCCTAAAGGGGAATGGCCTCATTCCCTACTTGGCCATATCGGCCTTTTGCATTCACAATGGCTATACACTCGTCTAAGTGACCCTAAGAGAGAAGACCGCCTGCCAGCAGTGTAATATAACTCCTGGGTGGAGAGAGGCACTGTGAGAGTCTGCATTACAATGCTCAGGACATTCATGTTAGTTACTCACAATTTTGGTCCAACCAGCCGGACATCTTGGAACCCATACAGAGCACAATGTACAGCTACCCTAAATAAAAAATATATATTTTTAAAATTACAGTAACATGAAGAGAGAACATGAACGTTTTCTTTCAATTTAAACGACAGCATAATATGATTTCAACAAATTAAGCATGTAACTGTACAGAGAATAAATTTCCTAATTGGTCTCAATAGAATACACATCTTTGAATGTTCCAAATCAAAAGAAATATATGCTGTTGCTTGTTTTCTTTATCTCATTTATAGAGCCACTTCACAAAACATCTTAGTTCATAATTTACATAAAAAAGTAGACATCAATCAATATCAAGAATTAACATGTTAAAAGCCGTACTTAATTCATTGAGTTACTTACAAAACGAAACACTGGTTTTGCTTCATCACAATTTCTTCGCACTGGTTCAAGCACTCCATCTATGCCATACACTATTGCTCTTCTAGCTTTCCGACCCTTGATGACGACATCAAGCCTATTGACCTGAAGCTGTTGAAAACAATAAAATCACTTATGCCATGATACTGTAAAGGCAATGTTTCGCCAGGCAATTTGAACAACGTATCTTATAAAGTTCTGTTTTTGTTGCATCAGATGAAAGTTGCATGAAATTTCCAAGTGTATCACATCCTTAGGTTAACATGCCTTGCACTGTTTCCACTGAGGTAATTAAGCACCTTACAAGTAATATATCAAACACGAAAGACCGTGTTTGACCACATTTCTAAACACTGATAGTAGAGTTGAACATACGACACGCAGCAGAGTATTTTTGACGAACTTGGAAATGTGATCAGACGCTGTCCTGAGTGTAAGATATATCTTCTCAATCGAAACTAAAATACTAATGTACTGGGTAATTTACTTCTGGTGAAGTATTAGTTTCACAAATTGAAAATTTAGTTCACATAGCAATGACTTGAAATGGTTATTTAATTAATTTCATATTGACAAATTCTGAGTGTGTACTATGTTATTACAAACCATTCCTGCCCCAGGCTTCGTGATTTTAACAAGATAATCCATTCCTAGCCAAGATGAGTATTCTTCTCCATTTCGGATACTTTCCTCTGTGAGATAATGTTCCACAACATGGTATTTTAAGGTATCTGAAGTCTGAAAAAGTTTAAAGAAACATAATCTATGGTCCTGACTCTTAAAAGAGTTGATTTCTTGACACTGTTTTGATATAATTCTGTAGGTAATCTGAAGTATTCAGCCAGCCAATGCCCATTTCCAGAAAATATACATACTCCCCCTCCTCCACAGAAGGGACTGGAATTTCCTGGGGGGTGGGGGGGGTCAAGCTTAATTGAAATTTCCAGTGGGGTGGGGTGGTCTTTAAAAAAAAATCCCTTCTGTGGGGAAGGTATAGATATTATCTGGACCTACACAATATTGTAAAAACCATTCACGCAGTTATCAGCAGTCAGCAATAACAGACTGAAAATGAAAATGCTTCTTCAAAAACGTCCGTGATCATAGTCTCCAGACATATTGAACAGCCCTGGGACATAATAACTGACACACAACATAGCTTCAAAACTATACATATTAAAACGTCATTCCTCATTACCAAAGGTTGCGATAGCAAAAGAGGTTTTAATTACAATTTACCATATAAAGGTACTTCATTGCCAGGATCAAGACCACATTTTTAATAAAAAGATTGTATAAGTATTAATGACTTCACTAACAGCTATATATGAAGCTATGAAGCAATGTAACTTCTGAAATCTGACTGTACATAGTACAAGAATACCAACGTGCCAGCATTTACAAATGTTTTTACCATGCTTGCCACACCCTTTCCCCTCAACAGCCCTCCTCAAGGATTATGTTAAAAACTGAGCGGTCATTTTAAAATTCTGCTTGTAACAAATTTTTGGATGATTTGTGTTTCAATTTTCAGCCTTACCAGGTTCCTATTCTTGAGAGCAGTGTTTGTAGGAGCAAACACTGTACAAGCTTGACAAGCATCTAGTGACAACAACAGGTTCATGTGCTTTAAGAAAAAATAAAAACAAATCAGTGCTGTATGATAAACCAGGGAGAAACAATGCTTCATAAGGCAGCCTGAGGACGGAGCAGCTTGGACCTCTGCTGCCACACTTGCCTTCTTCGTTCAGGTGTTTTATCCATATTTTGGCCAGAACAAACAATATGGTGCCACAAAGAAAGGGCCCGTACACACAAGCATTTTTTTGCTTATTTTACAAAAAATTCTGTCATCAGTTCCGTGATACAAGTGTACACGGTGATTGTTTTCCTAACAATTTTTGTCAAGCCCCATAAACTTTTAAGGTACTGGCATCCTGCTTCGTAGCAAAAACAAATTTTTGTCAGATGACAATCTGAAGGAAAATGTGAGCTGATACATTTGATCTGCTTTGATCTTTGATCTCGCCATGTGACTGACACTTGTTGGTCAACAAATATTTTACTGTTTTTGAGTGCATCCACAATTATTAAATAGAAAACCTGACGAAGACAAATTTTGTTGAAATTTTTTGTAGAGCCAAACAAATTTTTTAGGCTGGTGTGTGCAGGCTTTAAGTCTCTGTACATGATTAAATTGTAACAAAGATTGGAAAAGTGCTGGATCATTGTGTGACTGCAATCTATGGAAGTAAAATGGCAAGTAAAATCTTATGGTAAAATATAGCTGTGCTGCCCAGACTCTGGCATAGAGATACCCAGGTAAACAATTAGCAATACACTGAAACAAAACCTTCGCAGAAGACTCTAAAGGTCAGCACACATGAGGGAACTAGTCCCTGCAACTAGTCCCCTGAAGAGTTTACATGAAGAGACTCGTGCCTTGTCCCACGAGCAGTTCACACAAAGCATTTTGAGGAACAAGTCGCAGGGATTTGTCCCAAAAATTCAAACCTGTTCGAATTCATGGGACTAGTCACAGGGAGCAAATTTTAGTCCCTGTGACTAGATTTTGTGACAAAAATGGCTAGTTCACACAATGGGACTTGTCCCCTAGACTTGTTGTCCCCTCGTGTGCCGACCTTAATGACGATTACACAACATTTCCTTTTATTATGTAAACCAACAAATTACCTGTAACATGCTGGTGAAATCCGAAAACTCTGAAATGTTTTTAAGAAGCTCTGATGTTGAAGGGAGTCTACTTTCAAATGCCATATGAGGTGGTAAAAGAACCTGAGTGAAAAATAACAAAAGCTAAAACTACCTGCTACAAGTAAGTACTGGTTTGATAGTGAGGACTACACTGACGAGTTACAACATAAAGACCAAACTTTCAGTTGAAATAATTTATGCTTTACTTTGTCAATGACATGTACAAATCCATTTTCAGCAGTTTCATTTGGTTGGATAATTTGAGCAGTTCCACCAATAAAGACCTGAAATAACAAGACATTCATGTAACTGTTAACAACATTGATTATCTCCAAAATACTACGGAGTAAGGTGCAGTAAAATATGCATAATTATCCCAAGCTAAGCCTACAATCCCAGACAAAAAAATTGGACACAAAGCAAGTTCTCCTCACCTCCAACTTACAATGTTGATAATCAGGTGATTTTTCCCTTTTTGTTGACAAAAACACAACATTTTCCAACATTGATTAGGGGGAGTGGGGGATACGTGATCCAGCTCAACTGTCCCAACTACTTTTGTCAGGGATTGTAGCATCAGTTTGCCCCAACTTGATGGAAGAAACATGTTGCATATTATGAGTGTTTTAAACTAATTACAGAGATTTACAGTGCAAATCTAGATTTACGATTAAGTATTTTTGAAGGTCAGTATTGAAAGAGAATTTTGTTACCTTTGGTCCCTGCACAGATATATTCAACATCAAGTCATTTTCAGTGTTAAATGATGTCAAGTTCTTTAGCTCCTCCAAAGAGTACACCTGACCCACAAGGTGATATCTGATGTTAAAAAAGTGCTGTAAGTGACATTTGAAAGTCAAACTCAAAATCAGCAAATTTAATTATGGGTAAAGTTGTAGTAGTGTAAGAGGCATGTTTGAATGTATCCTGGAATAAATTAAAGTCTCTTTTCCTGTTGTCAAGTACACAGCCATTTGATCCATGATGTGAAACTTAAAGTTTTTTATATAATATATATATATATCATAAACTTTACTGGTTTCCTGCACTACTAGTACAGTACATACATCGTCAATCTCTTATATCACTTAACCTACTTAAAGTTACAATTGTTTACATTACTTTTTGTCACTAACTTAAACTCTACTTAATGCTGAACTGTCAATTTTCAAAGAAGCTAAATATTAAGTATAGAAAATTCAAGGAAGAGAAAAGAAGTATAAGAGAGGTATTTGAACGTGTTGTTAAGTGAAAGGACGTGGGAATACAGTGTAAAACACTACTGGTGCGCAATTTTGGAAAACTGTCCTTTATGTTTCAATATTATAACTTCTCTTTCAACTACAACGGAATCCAGATTTTTAGCACATCCCAAAAAAATGGAAATTTGTTAAAACAGCTAGGATTTCAAGAAATTGGGGCTACCATAATTTATTACAGTGAAACAAACTCTGTGGAAATGGCGTTTGGTTCAAGCTAAGCAGGAGCATCAAGAAGTCAAGGATTTTGAAATCATGATTCTTATGTAATTTTGTTTACGATACCCCAACCAAGGAATGATGAATGTTCTATTGTACATGATCAGTGCAATAGAATAGACTTAATTGTTCCCTCTGTGCATGTTCATGAGAATAATTATTAATTTGCTGTGTTATGTCTCTTAAGCGAATGCACATATACACAATACCTTATTAGATATTGTAGTCTCTCTGTGCTGTTAGTCCAATATTTTTTCTCAGTGTCAGGTAACTGTGAGAGTGCTAAGATTGATGGTGCAAACATTGTGAGGTTTTGTCTTGGATCAGACAGGTAGTGTAGCATATGTCCTTGCTGTTTGGATACAAGAAGAAAAAATTCAAAATAAATATACATTCACTTCCTGGGGAGGGGGGAACTCCCTTACATGGGCTATATAAGTATGTGCGCCAAAAAAAGGTATGGTACCATTTTTATTAACTGTTTTGGTCTGAAATAGGGTATGGTTTGTGTGTAAAATGGGGTTGACTGGCCTACACGACTCCTGTGGTTCATGGCATTTGTACATTTACCATTTTCTTTTGATTTTTGATCTCTCAGCCTTTCTCCAGCATAATAAAAGTTACAAACATTGACTATAAGGCGGGCCTGAAATGGGGTAGCAAATTTTTGGTCAAATCTGAAATAGGGTGGGAAAAATCACAGATTTTGGTCTGAAATAGACCAAGGGTTTCAGGAAACTAAAAAATATAAAAAAGAACGACCAAGAAAATTTCTTACCCTAATTAAATTCTCTAGGCCTGGATTGATCCTTGAAATGATCTGTAAAAAAGAAAGTTGTTGTAAGTTTACATTATGAAATTGAAAATTTCACTGGAAATTATTGTATTCCCATGAGTATTTACTTGATTAATTGAAAACATAAGGTGATGAAAGCCCTAATCTTAACGTAATACAAAAATTATATATTCCATACCGTAGCAACAGATCCAAAACAGAAATAGCCATCACCAATGAAGCCACTATTACAATGACAACTGTAATTCCCTGGGCCTGTACGCATGCACTTAGCCTGCAAAAGATAACAACAGATAAAATGTTGACTAACAATTTTACAAAAGAGATATAAATTATATAGACCCTTTTCATAAATGGCTGCCATTTAAAATTCTTTTGTATACATTTAAATTAGCCTTACTAACCTCGTTTCAGAGTAAAAATTCTTTTGAATTAGCAACTTCAAAATGAGGTTAGTAAGGCTAATTTTAATACTTGCAAAAGAATTTATAATTGGCCGCCACTTATCAAAGTGGTCTATACTACAGCTTGCAACTTAGACATTTTATATCACTTGTCCTCCCAGACAAAGGCTTGAAACTCTGACAAAGTGTTTCTAAAGAGCAGAAATATAATTATCAAACGTTTCACTAGCACTAGTGCAACACAGTCATACAAGTTTTAGAATGAAAGATTTGTGACAAACACCCTCAGATCTCCAAGACCCTGTGGGACACCTCAGCCTAGTCTGTTTAGGGTGTTAAACAGATCTACGTGGATACAATTTGCTAATAAGCAGATTTTTTGCAAAATTTGGACCAAACAAATCATTCTCAGACTACTCAGATAGAGATAACACTATGAAAAACTGTAGATCAATCACAATAACTTCAATAACAAATTCCACGCTCCCTAGAGAGCCCTTATCATCATGGGATAAATTCATGAAAATATTTCCTAAACCAAATGGGCTGATGATAAATATAAAGTGACCATTACTGTAACTTATTCCCACCTTAAATGAACTGGAAGTAACAGAGTTGCACAAGGATGTGATATCAAAAACAAAAACTCAAACAAGCTAAACAGTCACACATTTTATCCTCAATAATAAATATGAAAGAAAACATTTGATTGTTGAGCCCAGGGTTTATATACATTTAGATAGACAAGTACAAATACTGATAAAAGCTACTTACGTCAAGGGAGCAGCCTCCATTATTTACTAAGCAGGGGTTGATCTCAGAACATGTTGAGCCACTTCCTGTATAACCTGGCTTGCACACACAAATGCTCTGTAAAAAATTATTTCAAGGTAAGACACTTTGGTTCATGTACAAATACAGTGTTTTCATAGAGATGTATGCCTACGAAACAGAGAGTGGAATCCCAAAAAATAATATTGCACATTATATAGCCACAATAATTATAACAAAGGTGTTAATTTTTGAAGAAATTGTTGGGTTGCATCAGCGGACAAGTGAAACACTTTGCTCTTTGTTAGCGCATTTGACTTGCTGACGTGGAGCTACATGAAACACCCTGGCAAATCTGTTCAAAGTTCTGATGAAGGGCTAGTGTTCAAAGCATCAGCATCACCAAGTCACATAGTTGGTTATATTAATTAACCTTTATCAACAGCAAGTAAAATTATTAGCTAAGTGTTTCACCATATTAATATAGTTAATTAAATTGCTGGAAGCAGAGAGATGGACTACTCCAGTAGGTAGACACCTTCTGATGGTCCCAGCCACCTACAAACACTACATTTTAACTCTCTGATAAGCTGGAAACTCCTCTATGTGGACATTGTTTTTTCTGGTTCCAGCAGTGCCTGGTTATGGGAGTTGAACTGCATTTATAATCCATAAAATGCCACATTAGATGCTAACCTGTCCAGGGCCTATGTACTGACAGTCTGCATTACTATGGCAATTTCCAGCATCTTGCTCAATGCAAGGATCTATTGCGACACACACAAAACCATCACCACGGAACCCATTATCACATGAACAGTTGTTACTACCAGGTCCAGTCTTGGTGCAAATAGCTTCATGATGGCAGCCTCCATAGTTAGGTTTGGAACAAGGATCAATTTCAGTACACTGTAGTCCAGAACCCTCATAACCAGCATTGCACTGGCAGCTATGATCATAATGACAGAAATAAAGAAATAATAAAATTAATAAATACTTTATTTACACTTCAAAAAATTAAAAGAGGAAAGACCAATGGTAAGAAATTTTCAAAAATTTGGGTACAGAGAAACCCTGCCTTGCAGCTACTATACCCCATTAACAAGCCAGTCCACTTTATTCTGGCCTGAACAAAAACTTAGTCAGTCATGTTCTTATTTAAAGAACCCCTATACTAAGGCCATCCATTAATACAGCAATAGTTTTGTGGCCCATTGGTGACCTCATGAGGCTGCCCTTTTCTCTGGAAATTCCAGCAAATACTGTTCCATCAGCTACTAGAAATTTCCACAAATTCAGACCAGAATTTTTGCTACGATGGAGAGGGCCCTTTATGTGATACTCACCTGTCAACATTTCCTCCTCGTATGCAAGTAGCATGCACATGACATCTGCGGCTCACAGATCCAGGACATGGAATATCTCGCTGGTCACAGTTGGTGCCATGAAAACCAGGGGTACAAGATCCAGGTTTACATGTCCCATTTTTCTGAGGGCCACTGTCACAAATTCCATTCATACATGTGCAAGCTAAATGGTAGCAAGCAGGTGTAAGTGGCAATTAACATAAAATGTTACAATTGACCATAAAACTACCCTTTGTAGCCCATGGTCCTTGATTTTGATTAATCACATTCATTATGTTTTAGTGACGCTTACTTTGATTACAGAACGAGCCAAATTTGTTGTCTTCTTTACAAAGCTCACAGGCTGTTCCCTTGAAGTTGGGCTGACACAGGCACCTCCCATTACCATTGATTTTATCCAGACACTGTTAAAAACAGACAAAGTTACATTTTTGCTGTAATGGGATTGGGGTATTCTTATAAAGTAACAACCCCTGTGACAGTTCCACATTTTTTTACTGTCTAGCATCAAAAGTCCTTGGGTAACAATAACTGAAAAACATTATGCTCTAAAGGTCTTGACATTTCTTATAGTGCATACAGAGTTAGTGTCATAATGTATATGAGATTAAGAAATCCTGTTGTTCACATTAGACTGTAAATCCAATACAGACTCATACTGATTGGAGACATTCATTTATAATGACATCATATGGAGATCATGTATTGAGGGAGTAGAACAATCAACATGCATTACACGCATACAATGCTTTAGAATAATTATACTATAGTCATGTAGCTGCTGTATACCTGGTATTGGACCTGAGTTTGTATCATGTTTATATACATGCACAGCTGGAAATTACAGAGGCAGCATGTCCCAGATGTGGCCAGTGCAATAATAATAATAATAATAATAATAATAATAATAATAATAATAATAAATAATAAATAATAATAATAATAGGTTTAATTCAATCATCATCACAAGTTAATGAATCACAATAACATTACAAGAAAAAAATATGACTATCTCAGATGCTATATTTTTGCCTCCCATCAATGAGGTTACAGGGAAAAAAGATGGCATTCTCAGATATTACCTTTTCACCTTGTTGTGCTATACTCTGAACCAAATAGAAGATGGTGTTCCTACATTTTGTAAAAAAAATAATGCACTTAGGAGGTCTACATACTAGCAGTTTTTCTAGACCTCAAGAGTGCATTATTTTCCTAGACAAAATGGAACACAATGATGTTATATTTGGTAAATACATGTGGAACCACTGTTTTTGTAAAGTACCTTTCCATTAATATTCCCATTACAAGCATTACCAAATGGACCAGGGCAAGGGTGACAGGCAGCACCATAATACCCAGCACAGCATTCTGGTTTCTGTTAAAGAAAGTCATCAAAATTTACCAACAAAATGGTACCTCTTATTACAACAGTTTTGGATCTTAGATTGAAAAACAAATTACAAGATTCAAAGACACCCTGTCAAATTACAGTTCAGCTGCATCAGTGAAGAAACTAGAGTAGCATCTGCCTTTATACTATTGATACAAAACACAGGTTTTACTTAAAAACATATTAAACATATTTTTACAACACACAAACTGTGAAATACAAGGTCCACGGTGCACTGTACAAACTGGCTACAGCTACAGTTATCAGGATACCTAGGTAAAAGTGGACTATCACTGTCAGAAAAAATTCAATGATTGAAGTTTAAAATAAATGCATTAACTTACCTCAGCAGAGCATGTGGTAGCTCTGCAACCACGGTACAATCCAATAGGAATTCCTCGATAACTCAGTCGATATACACAGATTGAAAATGTGGACTTAAGCAAAAAAGACAGATACTCTAATCAACGTAAGATAATCAACAACTAGTTGTAATTTAAGTCACACAAACTTACATCTCATGGAATTTATCTACTTATTAAGATGTGACCAAATTAAGGCACTCAAAACATACAGCCTTTTTTAATGCAACTTAAAATCAGTGCTACTAACACTTAGTCTCTACTGATAATATTGATCACTTGGCATATGATTGCCAAATGTTAATTGCAATTAAGGACTGGATTTTAAACTTACTGATTGGGGGCAGAGCCAACATCTAAATAAGACTTCACAAGTTAAGTCATATATTAATGATCCTCTTTCCAGGCCTAGTCTGAGCTTCCACTAACGATACTACATTTAGGAAATAACACACTGGCTGTGGGTAAAAATTGGGTGGCAGGGAAGGATGACTGGGGAGTAGGGGCCCAGGAAGGGGGCCCTCCTGGGGGAGTACAGATCGGGTGGTACCGGGGGTAGCCAACCTGGAATAAAAGTTCCAGACCTGCCTCCAGGGGTGAGGCCCATATCCCACAGTCCCAGGGGACTGAGGGAACCAGGAGGGGGAGCCCCTCCTGGGGAGAATACAGATCAGGTGGTACCGGGGGTAGCTACCTTGGAATAGGTAATTTCTCCAGACCTGTCTCCAGTGGGCTAGAGCCTTACTGTGGGGCAAAGTGCAGCTAATGGGTGCACTTCCCTGCCACCGTCCTTTAATAACAAACAACAGAAAGTCACCAAAATACAGTCT